GGTGTCGGTTTTAAGATCTGGTTTTGTTTCTTTCTGTCCTCTCAAGTAATCGGTTTTTGTTTCCCTTTGTCCTTCTAAGTAATCATTAATAAACTGTTTTGTTTTGAGAAAAGCTCTGCCTGTTTTGCCCAGGACCATGGTTGGTGGGTGCTCCCTCTGTTCTTGTCTCAACCCTCAGTCCCTTTGTTTTTTTTTCTCTCCTCTCTACTTTACTGGAGAAGGAGAGACTGTGTGAGTTTTAGTTGCTGGATCAGCCTAAAACCACGACACTGGGGCAGAAAAACATCTCAGTTCTTGGTATGTGTTTATCTGTGAATGGGGGAGGGGGGGAAAGAGAGAGAGAAGAGGGACTGCAGGTCTGGGACAAGTCCCTGTGTGGCATGTCCAAGTGAAAAATTTGTTGAGTGTGAACCAAGGCTAATCCCCAGTATATTGGCTGATATCCAGAAATACAGTGGTGTGGGGTTTTTTTAAACAGAAATAGAAATATTGCTATGAGATGGAACCCAAGCTGAACCCCAAACGCAGTCCGAGTCATTCTTGTTTCAAGAACCTGAACTGAACCTGGACTATTATTTCAAAATCTTGTTGAACTGGAACTGATCTGTGTATCAGTTGCAGATGACTGAAAGATTTACTATGTAGCCTTGTAGTCTTGTACACAGGCTGCTAGTAACAAGCTGGAGGCTCTGTGCTAAGCTAACCACACAGGCCTCCGGACTGGGTTTATTAGGCTTGCCTGCAGTTTTGTTTAGCTGTAACAGCAATTGTTTAATGACCGTGTAGCTATTACCTAATTTATTTCAGTTTTGCTTAATTCCGAATAACCATGTGCTATAATCTCTATTGTTAATTTTTATATAGGCAGGAATAGCAAGTAGTTACGTTGTACACAGCGAACTAAGTCTGACCCTAAAGTAAGGACGCTTGAAGGCGCGAGAATAAGATGATGCTGGTGGTCCCTGGGCTATCAACAACTCCCCACTGGTCAGTTACTTATAGTAAAGCAAACTTAGGAGCTCAGAGGAAAAAAACAGTTTTAGAGGAAACAAAAGGGACAAAGAAAAAAATATTTAACATAAATTGTAAAGTCAAGTAACACAGATTTGCAGAATGTAGAAAGAGCAAGATGTAAAGCATGTTAAAAAAAACATAAAAATGGCCCTGAGGAAGCCTTGGGCTGAGGAAGAAGAAAGGAAGCATGAACATCATCCACCTCCTCACAAAAGAGGGGAAGAAACTACATTCACTAATGTCACAGCCCTGCTCTGAAGACCTCAAGATGCTGTTTACTTGACAACTTCATGCCCCGCTGCCAGATTGTTCACTTAACCTACAAAAGAAAGTGTAAGGGTGAGCATAACTTCTGAGAAAAAGAAGTAGATATTAGGAGACTTTTTGTACAAGAATTTATAACCATAATATTTTAAAGAGACTTGTTTTGCATTAATTAGCTAGCTTTGACTCTAAGCGTTGGCAAATGTGATGCTCATCTACAAGAAGGGCCAGAAGGAGGATCCAGATAGCTACAGGCCTGTCAGCCTGACATCAGTGCCAGGGAAGGTTATGTAGCAGATCATCTTAGTGCCATCATGTGGCACATACAGGACAACCAGGTGATCAGGCGCAGTCAGCATGCATTTATGAAAGGCAGGTCCTGCTTGACTAACCTGATCTCCTTCTGTGACAAGGTGACCCACTTAGGGAATGAGGGAAAGGCTGTGGGCATTGTTTACCTGGACTTTAGTAAAGCCTTTGACACTGTTTCCCACAGCATTCTCCTGGAGAAACTGGCTGCTCATGGCTTGGACAGATGTACACTTCACTGTGTGAAAAACTGGCTAGATGGCCGGGCCCAAAGAGTCGTGGTGAACTAAGTTGATTCCAGTTGGCAGACGGCCACAAGTGATGTTCCCCAGGGCTCA